CCCAAAAGTGTAGAATAATGGCCTTCTGGGCTGTTTGGGGAGGTTTTGGGCGAGTTGCTAGTTTACCTACGTTCGTGGTTCAAGTACTTACTGGCGGTTAGTAGGGAATAAGGGAACATACTGCACAGGGATTATATAAGGACTACATAGTCCCTATCTCCCTACTAGGAACTAGCAAGATTGGGGAGGAGGGTTCATAACAAGGTCAGGGGAGTGGTGGTCTGTTTAGACTACAGCTGAATTGCTGGATTCGGTTTGTTTAGACTACAGCTGAATTGCTGGATTAGGGTTTATGATTGAGGCCGAGATTGCCGTTTAGGGCTTGAGGTTTGAGGTTGAGGGAGTAGCTTTCAGTCATGTGGCAAAGTGTGCAGGTTAGGAAAGCCCTGAACGGCCTGGCAATGTCTCGAGGAAACCGCCTACAATGGCTAATACATTAAAAGGTTGAGGCACAGTACATATGGCAATTTCCCTGCAAAGGGGAACCCTAATATAGACCCAAAAATACCACAATCCTTTGTATAGGGATCCCCCCCAAAAAAATACCGCTACTTTCGGGAAACCCCCCATATAGCTTGCAGGACAAATACAACTTGTTGCAGGGTTTCTGGGCCACCTTACAGCACATGTAGAGTCTCCCTTAAGTAGATAGAATATAGGGTATATTATTGGGGTTATATAGGGATAATGGAAAAGAAAATGGAAACTACTATATTATAGTAGGGTATATATGTTAGGGGTATAGTTCCCCTTAAGTAGATAGAATATGGCGTATATGGGGATCCTTTAGTAGAACATGGGGGGTTATATTGGGATAATGGAAAAGAAAATGGAAACTACTATTTAGGGTTTGGGGTTTAGGTTTAGGGTATAGTCTCGCTTAATTAGATAGAATATGGGGTATATGGGGATCCTATTATAACATACCCAAAGCCATATTCTATCTACTTGAAGGGGACTATAGCCACGAAATCCTAATCCAATCATGTAACCTGCACATGCTACTCCCATCTTACCTCGGTAGGAACCGGACTCCCGTTTTTCGTAATCCGCTCCCACTAGTTTCTAACACCCACCCTTGCCCCACCCTAAACCTCCCATGAGAGTGGCCCCGAGTGCTTCCATGAGGGACAAAGGGTTGCAGCACAGAT